TTGACATTTCTGTTAACTGTCAGACTAGTTGTTTTCCCCATGGCACACTGCAATTAATTTATTTTGCTATGTAATGAAAGTTGAATTTGGAGCACGTTGGGAATGATTGAAATCGATTTTACTGGAAAACGGCACATCCTAGTGAAATTTAACAAGAGGACCTTTTTTATGTTAAATACTTCAAATTTCAATATTTTCGAGTCAGGAACTAGAAAAAATTGACTACAAAAAAGATATGATTAAATTTGTCCCTGGGTCCTGCATTTTCTCACGCCCCTGTAGCAAATTTTGAAATGTATTTTATGAGACTTATTAAGCACGTCAAGGTTAATATCTCACCAAAATTTCGTGACTTAATGTCGAGCCGTTTGGATGTTACGCATTAAAAACTGTTTCCGAGGTTACCCCTTTAGGAGAGCGTAGCTCCCTTAGGAGCCGCCACTGACAAAAATTGTACTAAAGTTTTCGTCATATTTCGACTTGTTTTACAAGCTTAGAAATTTTGAATACTTATTTCAGTTACACCTAGTATATATATATATATATATATATATAGGGTGTCCCTAATGACATGCAAATACTTAAGGGTGTGATTCTAAATGGAAAATTAATGATAGCTTGCTTTATAAACGATGGTCCAAAAATGTTCCGTTGCGAAAATACGGAATGTTAAAATTTTAGGGGAAAGAAGGAAATGAATAATTAATATTTTCCAAACCGCTAGAGATATTTCAGTGATATTTAGTACATAGTGACAATTAATAAGGGCGCATGTTTTTCAATCCAAACATAATTTTCAGCTCTAACAGTGGCTTGTGTACGAGCACTGACTAAGATATTAAATAGCAAAAATTAAATACAAGGTGAGCCAACGAAACGGGACGATTTCAAAAAATCAAAAACATTCAAGAAATCATCTTTTGGAAAATTTATTGTTGAAAACATAATGTTGTGTAAGTGCAGAAACATTCATTTTTTAAAAATAATGTCCGAAAGGTGGCCTCCATTTTATCACACACATTCTTGCAGTCTCGTTGCGAAGCTGCCCATAAGCAGTACTGTGGCCACTTCACCTCGAATCCTTTCTTTTAATGCCTGGATAGTTCCTGATAGTGATGTGAGTGAAAATATAAAACAAATTGATATATATCAATTTTTGATACACATCAGCCATTGTTAATAGCTGATATATATCAATTTTCCCGCCATTTCATCAGTAAAGCCAAATTTCAAACTTAACCTTACATTTTAAAACTAAAAACTTGTGGTGTGGTAGGCTTGGGTTGAACTGTAGTAGCTCTTGGGTACCTGGCATATCTCGGTCAAAAATGAAATTAAAAATCTGAAATTTTAGGGATGTACTATAGATGGGAAGAACTAAGAGCGCACGTAATTTCAAGTCACCCCTTCCACCCTAGGGGGTGAGGGGTGTTTTTTTTAGATGTACCCTATTCATTTTGCGAGTTTCGGATTCTACGCGTAAAACTACCCCCGAAAGCGCGTTTTTGCCGAATTCGCACAAAAATGAAACCACCACGCTCATATGGACTTTGTCGTTTTTTTGATGACCATCGTTCTTGGGCACATCTCCGTCAAAAATAAATATAGAAATCTGAAATTTTAGGGGTGTACTTTATAGTACACCCCTAAAAGAGAGAGACCTCTTAGGTCTCTCCACTTATGTGGGGAGACCTAAGAGCGAACGTGATTTCAACTCACCCTTTCCACCCCTAGTAGGTGCAGAGGGGGTGAGGGGTGGTCTTTTAAACGTACTCGCAAGAACGCGTTTCCGGGGGTAGTTTTACGCGTAGAATCCGAAAATCGCAAAATAAATAGGGTACGTCTAAAAAAAAACCCTTCACCCCACCCCCTAGGGTGGAAGGGGTGAGTTGAAATTACATGCGCTCTTAGATCTCCCCATCTATAGTACACCCCTAAAATTTCAGATTTTTAAGTACTACTTTAAAGCAGTTTCTTTATTATCATAAGTTTTTGATAATTTTTATTTCAATTTTTACCTTCAATTTTTTTTAAGTACCTATTGTGATATACAAAGACTAAATTTTCTTGTTCTAGAAATTTCCCATTTTTTATTTGTGGGTCGATAAAACTAAATTGCTAATAAACAGCGTACTTGCTTATAAACAGGCATTGTATCATATTAAGTATGCAACAAAAATTAGAAGTCATTACCATCATAATTATAATGAATTTATTAATTAAAACAACAACCTATTTCAAATAGATTATTACTTTTACTATAGTGTCTTAATGTAAATATGATAAAAAAAATAAAAAATTCCAATCTAAATATGAAAAAAAAAAAGATCACTTGATAACTTTTCTAACAGTTCATATATATGACATGTATTTGGTGTCAAATTAATCAGCAAGGCATTAGCAATATAAAAAAACTAATTTGAGTAGTTTTTTTTTTAACAAAATTCATCTGATATATATAATGATATATATTTTGATATATATCACCCAAAACTAAATAGCATGCTATTTTACATCACTAGTTCCTGATAGTTTTGATACACTTTTGTTTTACACAAGTCAGGAGAACGAGGTGGCCAGGGAATATCTCCGTTCTTGACATAAGACGACTGGGGAATGCCTGTCTTAGTAAATCCATTGACACTTGTGCAGTGTGACATGTTGCATCATCTTGTTGGAAAATCGTTATTGCATTTCTGTAGTTCTCGATTGCAGGAAGAAAAAGACTGTTCAACATATTGACGTAAAGATCAAAGTTCACAGTTACTGCATTCTCAACTTCGTTTTCAAAAAAATAAGGGCCGATTATTCCTAACGAAGAAACCGCACACCACATAGTTACTTTCTCTGAATATAGGAGTCTCGTGTAATTCCTGAAGGTTATTGTCGGACCAATAATGAAAATTTTGTTTGTTGACGAAGCCACTAAGGTAAAAGTGGGCTTCATCACTCATCCAAATATTATGCAGCATGTTATTGTTTTCATGGATGCAGTCTAACGTTTGTTCACAAAAGGTTACTCGAGTAGCATAATCTGGAATGGTGAGACAATGCACAATCTGAACTTTACATGGATGGTAGTGAAAGTCTTTATGCAAAATTCTTCTCATGGTACCATAGATTAAATCGAGAGGTAAGCTTCGTCATCGAACGGATCTTCGTGGACTATCTTCCAATGAATCACATACTGCTCGACTATTTTCTGGGGTGCACGCAGTTCTGGAACTGCCGCCTCTTTTTTGTTTTGTTGAACCATTGGTTTCAAAGTTCCTAACCCACTTTTAATAGCGTTGTTAGACGGTACACCAGCATGAGGCTTTAAATGGTAGTGTAAACGAAATGCACGTCTTGCACTTACAAAACCTTCACCATTTTGGTAATACGCTTTGAAGGCAAATGTGCGTTGATTCATCTGACCAAGTATCCATGATAACTAACTTCCTACTCTCTAGATCCGCCTCTCCTTTTTTTTAATAATGATATCATGGGAAACAATTACTTCCCTGGGCTATATGTCCAAATTAACATTAAATGGTCAGGAAATCCACCAGACATAGATCAGTTTTGAATTTATTAATTCTTATCAGTATGCTATAAGTGAGATGAAAACGAATGATTTAGCTTTTGGATGTTTATCTAAAGACACGGTTTTTTAGTGTGGATTAGATATAACCTATAAAGCATATGACGTACTGATGAGAACAAATTGGCTTAAAACTAATCTAGTGACTCTCCTGATGAATGATCTTAAATCATTTACTAGATATCGAGATGTAAACAATGCTGGTCGGGGCATATAACCCCCCAAAGTTGTTGCTTCCCACAATATCATGAGTTAAATGAAAAATTTATTAGAACTCAGTGAAGTGTGTAAGTTACATATACACATATAATAGTGTAACAATAATACATTAGCATTAGATTAACTTTAAAAGTAGATACTTACTTACAAGTGTTAGTAAAAATGATAATATTTCCTTTCTGATTTTTAGTCCTATATTCTCTAATTGCCTGTACAAGATATGCGTCTTTGACATCTTTTGGACAAAGTATGTAATTTTGTTCCAATTGTTCAACCGTAGCAATTTCAGAAGGAGTTTCATAAAGAAAAACTTCTTTCCCTGTGACTTCTTTCAACTGTTCTAACGTATCAGTTATTGTAGCAGAAAAAAACAAATTTTGCCTTATTTTAGGTAAATTATTGAATATAAGTTTTATTTGCTTATCGAATTGTCCACTTAGAAGTCTATCTGCCTCATCAAGTACTAAAAATTTTATTCGAGACAAAGTGAAAGTATTACAACTTTCTAAATGATCAGCTAAACGACCCGGTGTTGCAACTACAATGTGAGGATGTTTAGATAACTTAATGCCTTGTTCTACCATGTCCATGCCTTTAAATTAAAATATATATATATATATATAGTTAATGCAGTTTAAATATAATTTGCCACTTACCTCCTACAATGACACAGTGTTTTAAATTTATAGGTTTTCCAAGAACTGCAAACTGATCGGCAATTTGATAAGCTAACTCTCTCGTTGGAGTTAAAATTAATGCAAAAATGCCATATGGATCTTCACATAATTTTTGAAGTATTGGTAAAGTAAAAGCCAATGTTTTTCCACTACCTGTTTTTGCGGCACCGATGCAATCCTTGCCTTTTAAAATTTCTGGTATACAATTTGACTGAATCGGAGTTGCAATCTTCAAACCTAAAAATATGACATTATTTTTGCTTTTTCTGTGTTAGGAACTCACCTATACTTGAACATTGTTTAATAATCCAGTCATTTAGATTAAATTTATTGAAAAATTCTTTATCCGACATCGAAATGCCACCAAATTTACAAATAGTCAAATTATCAAATATAAGTCAGTAGGTCGATAGTAGTCGAGTTTGTAAATAAAATTTAAATGAATTTTTAAGTTTTTAAATCAATTCGATCTAGTTAAATCAAATAAGTCAAATGCTGTGTTCAAAAATAAATGCCCCCGACACGAAACATATAATTACTAATTACAGTCCAGACACAAGACCATAGAAAATATAGTACTAACGTAGAATGAAATGTCCCTAATATTGTCAGTAAACCGCGAAACAGCGCCACGTAACGTTTTGGAAGCCTACTACTACTTAGCCCCTAATGAGTAGGCAACTCTTTATACTTT